ACCTAACAAAAACATACATTGCCTCACTATGTGATTTTATTTATGGCGTACGCAGCTGTGAGCATCTGCTATGTATAATGCAGGCTAGAACTTTCTAGAGTGCGCATAGCCAGAAATAGCTATGGATCTGTGATAAAAAGGAACTCTTGATGAGTTTCTTTCTGTAAATGTAGAAAATTGGCATGAGGGTGTATCTGTCATGTAACTGATAACAGAATAGAACATTCAGCAATCATATTTTTAAAATAATGAAAAGGAAACATGGTTCATTTCTTACATCTATTTGCAAAGTTAACACAGATTCTCTTTTCTTCGTTAGAAAGGCTGCACATTTCATTAAGTTATTGAGCTGTGACATGCAACAGTTTAAGTTACTCTGCTTCGCTTTCAGGTACTGCCATTATTTCTAATGCTACATCTTTGATATAAAATGAAGAGAGCGTAAAGCACATTACTCTGGGTGCTTTGATGATTAAATATGAAACAAAAGCATGGTAGCAACAACATGGCATTTCAGCCATGAGACAACTATAACAGTAGATCTTCCACTGAAGACTGGCGTTCTGTAGGAATTTTAAGAGTATATCCTTTAAAACCCAACTGCCAACAGATGTTCTCTGCAATAGTTGTTAGAGGGTTTCATTATTTTTATAACCTTTTAAATTCCTCTAATTTATAGAAAACTTCAATTTAAAGTCCATAAAAGTTAATCCTGACCATGGAATTATTTGCCTAAAATGAAATTTCCTCCATTTGCTGAGGGATTTCCTCACATGGGGAACTGTTAAGAGGTGGCCATGTGGGGCTACCTGCTGCCTAAAGGCACCACAGTCCCCAGACTGTTCACACAAGGTCTGCAGAGGCCTTTGCCTCCATTTCTGAGGGTCTCGGACAAATTTTTCACACATACGTAAAGAGTATTCTTCCTCAGGTACGTACTGAAGTCAAGCCAAACCTAAAAAAACCCCTGCACATGTAAAGCGTGCAATTGTCAGAGATTAACAATTCACAGCAAAACCCATTTTCTTCATCATATCTAAAAACACCATTCCTGTCAGATTTTTAGCTTCAATACCAATTTTTGCCCTTCAAGTGACAGACAATTCATAGACTGTCTTCAAAAAAAGTCGCAAGAATGTTTTTTGTAATGGAAAAGGGATTATAGATTACATTTTTTCCTCATTATCCCTCAACAGTATCTGAAGAAATTTCATTCACACTACCAGGTCACACACAATGACCGTTTTCAGTATGAATTAAACTAGTCAGTGGGCAGTATTAAAATATCTAGATTTTAATTGCACAGACCTATCTCATCAATTAACGATCAAGACTAAATTTCATGCTAGGCTGAAGCCTAGTAAATATGTTTTGAGAGTGTGTTGTTTGCTTTTCAGTCATGCTGATTAATGCAAGTTAATTGGCAATCAACTCAAATTACAGCAGGACAATACTGGAGACTAGATGTAGAGACTGTGTCAAGACAGATTGCCTCCGAACAGATAGGATCTGTGGCAGTCAAATCTTGTTTCAGATTCACAGGCTGGAGGAGTTAAACCACGCTCCTCCTCTGTGCAGTCTCTCTAGACTGTAAGTTTTGTATGTTATTTTTAAATCAAAATTTAACCAACTCAGTCTAGCACACATGATTTACAAACATACTCTGTAGCACAGCACACGCTTTAAAAACTTTGAAATCATGCTAGCTGGAGCTACTTAAGGAGTTTCAGGACTTCTTAGATAATACCATTGTAAGAAGTTCAGTTTTTATAAGCTAAACAGATGCGTGGGCATTTGTACATAAGTGGTGAGAGTAGGCATCTCTCCTCAATGCAAAGAGTGATTTTCCTCTTGAGAAGCCTGATGCTTGTGCAGAGTGTCTCTCGCCACCATTTAAATGTGTGAGCAGAACTTACTCCAGCCTCTAACATTAGTCATTACTGTGCCTTTATTCTGCTTAAAAGAACTCCTTCCTTGAAAGGCAGTAAGTATTGTAACTCATGTAGCTACCGATTCCCTTTCCCTCAGTGAACTTTCTTTATATCTTTGTCCTTAGACATCACTTTTGACTCTCTAGAAGTTGGGACTCCAGTTCCTTTCTTACCAGTCAGGACTCTGGCTCACGAACTGACCTGCTACAGTAGCATCCTTGGGCAACCTGCTCTCCCTGACCCTACTTGAGCAGGGGGGGCTGGGCCAGATGATCTCCAGACGTCTCTTCCAATCCCAACTGTTCTGTGATTCTGTGATCACTAGAATGGAAATATGGGAGTGGAACTATTTGGGTTAGTTACCAGTTATTGTTTACTAGAATAGTAAGAACATAATGTTTTAATAACCCAACCCATTATGACCTGGTTTAGATATAACCAAACATCAAAGCTAACCAATGAGAAACAGACAGTACAGCATTGACTTTGTTATTGTAGTATACTATAGATGTGTGGAGAGCCTATAATTATTTTTCTGAACCAAAGATTTGTTTGAGAACAAAAATGTTCACAATCTAAGACTTTATGGTTTGTTTTCATATTTTGGCATGGTATATTGTATTGGAAAAAAAATTCTTTAATTAAAAGCAGCCTTTTGAATATTACTCCAGACTTTAGTTTTGATCTCTTATTTTACGGCTTCTCTCCATGTCCCCTCTCCTTCCCACGTATCCTCCACGTGTTTAAGCCACCCTTAACTTTCATCGCTTCCTGCCCTACTTGTTCTCGTGTGAGTCCTTCTCTGAGCTCTCCACCCCTATGTGACACCCTGTGAAGACACCATCTGTGCAGAGTGTAGCCCCTCATAGCCTTCTGCATGCTGTTTGGGATCTCTCTGTCGTCCCCAGAGACAGCACAGGCTAGACATGGTGCCAGGGTTGATCAAGGCTTTTGTAACAACCTTTCTACCCAGCTCTCAAATGCTTTGCTGGTGTCACTAAGAACTAGAAGGGTCTTTCGCACACTGTCAGCGCTTCTGCTGGTGCTCAAGCTGGCAGGGAAGAAACAATAAATGTGACATACACTAGTTAGGACAGCATGGGGCTGAGAGGTCTAGGACTATAGGAAAAGGGGACAACCTGGCAGCGTGGGAGGACCAGAGGCAGTAGCGCACAGGGAACGGAGAAGTAAACAGGGTCAGTGGGGAGCAAGAACAAATAACAGGCTGAAGAAAACAAGAGCAAAAGGGAAATGGGACGGTCCTGGTATTAGAACGATCTATGGTATCTGTAACTTCTGAACATTTTCTTGGAGACCCTGGAACTGAGCACAGGAGTCACTGATCTCTATGTCCATCTCCTGTTAGCATGTAGCTAAGAAACGCACTGGCAAAACCTACATTTTTTTCTCTTTTGAGTGCTTTTCAAAGGGGGTAATCACTTCCTACTACTACCAGTTATTCTATTAGCGTAAGTGATAGAGCTCTATGCTATGAACCTAAAGGACCTACCCATGGCCTCATAGTTTGACAGGATGGAATTCATATCATTTTGATTGTTTCTTTTAATGGAAGAATACTCTGAAAGTTATTTTTAAAGGAGGTTTTAAACCCTGATTTTAAGAACCGTCAAAACAGTGGCTGCCCATGTCATTAGCTGTGGAGTTTGCAAGATGTGTAGTACCTTGTGCAGGGATATTACAAGAGAAAAAGGATAGTCTTCTGGCTCAGGATGTTGACTGTCATCTTGTAGAAATGAATTGATTGCCATTTATTAGTCCAAAGTTCTTGTCAAATTTTAGCTTTAATGTCTCTTTATTTCACTACCCTAGCTATGAAGTAGGTACAACAATACTATCTAATTTCACTGAATGTCTGAAAACACATTTAGCCAATGTTCTTGCTAAGACCTCAAGTGCTTTTCTGAAAGCAGCACATAAAAATACTTGTAAGGACATTCATAATCCCTTATATGCTTCAGGGTAAATGGGAAGCCAGACTTTAGGGAAATAATTCGTTTCCACCATCTTTCAGCACCTGCAGTTGTGCCTTAGGGAACGCCTGTCTGCATTAATGTAATGGAAGCCACAGGTAACTTCTTGCTAAGATGCCTACATCTCAGGTGCAAAACAGTGTATACATCTATGCTGAAGACACCTGACATTAGATGAGAGGAAACCCACTTTATGTCATATGTGAAGAAATATTGATCAAATTGCTCAACAGTGAGGCCAGGGTCCTATGGAAGAAAGTACCACGGACTGCAACCTGTACTACAATGCAGAGGCATACAGGGAGTAAGACTAAAGTAGTGGAAAGTAGTTTTCTGATCATGCCAGTACCTCCTAGGGATAGCCAAAACAAATCATTTATCTTGGGGTAAATAAGGAGCGACATGAGCCAATAAGGAGCCAACTCTAGAGGAGAGCTCTCAGCTCCACCCCTTGAACAATTTAAGGAGCTGAGGTAATATTGAACAAGCCAATGCCAAACTGTAAGCGAGCAAGGTGTGTTAGCACTGCACTCCAGTAACATGGCTGCTCATCGTCTCGCACTGTTTCCCCAAGGCGATGCACTGGGCTGTGTGTTTCAGGCAGGAACAAGCCTGAATATCCTCAAGCCACAGTTGCTTCGTGCAGTGTGGGTATGTGGCCGATGGTGCAGGCAGGTTGTCCAGGCTCACCAGTCAGCTCTATGAGAATTCTACCCCAAAAAAATACCTTCAAGAATTAGCCTATTGTTGATACAGCTCTGTGCGGTCCATTAGATAAAAGATGTGGCTTGTAAAAAATGTCTTCTCTGTATAACATAAAGTTCACTGTATGCATGCCATTTTCCTTACTGTTAGGCTGATTACTGTGTGGTCACTTGTCAATCTCTCAAAGAGAAATTTATGAAAATTATTGTTTGCTAAAGATGCACTCAGGGAAATAAGATAAACAAATCCAGCAAACGGCATAAAGACTAAAAGTGTAATGTTTTTCTGCTATGGTTTAAATGCTAAATATTATACTTCAGTGAATGCAATTAAAATATGTATTGATTTCTCATGTATTTTGTCATAGGCTGAGTACTTTTACGAGTTCCTGTCTTTACGCTCTTTGGATAAAGGTATAATGGCTGATCCAACTATAAATATCCCCCTGCTTGGAACAGTTCCTCATAAAGCATCAGGTTTGTGCTGTTGATATTATAAATTGTGTTCCTGTAAAAAATATTCCACAGCAAATAAAATCTAAATGTCTTATTATGAATTGCACTTTTTATTGCTAAAGAAATGCTTGCCACACTGCTGGACACTAAGTAGTTTATGAGTGCCTTGCCTGACTACAGCAGCATATTTTTTCTGAGCCAAGTCACATGAAGCTTTTATGTGTAGATAAAGCAGCAGAAATTTGTCCAAAAAACAGAGTGTACAATTAATGCATTTGAAACATTATTAATACTTAAGTTTTGCAACTTATGGACAACACAACCTTTGATCACTATAAGGAATAGTTATCAAATTATACTCCTTCTTAGAGGTTACAAACTTAGAGGTTCACAAACTATACTTTCAACTGGGGTCTAACGCTCTTACCAGGCATTCAGCGCAGAGACACATGTTCTCATTTAGGGTATTCCTTTAATTGTGCATTATCAATCCTCTGCTGGAATGTATAGCTCTGAATAGAGGTTTACCCAAGGCTGACAGGAGTGCTCCAGAACCACCGCAGTGCAAAGTGAGCCGGGTCAGTAAAAACAGCGTTCCATGAGAGGTTATCTAATCTACTTGACTTTGCTCTTCAGTGGATGAGAAGCAGTCTACATGACCTCCTACAGAAATAATATATGAGAGTGGTAGACTCTGGCAGAAAGGTGGAAATGAATATCTGGATGATGGCAGTGTCTTACGGTACAGTTTCATAATCAACCTTAGCCAACCTAAGATCTTGTGGGTAAAAAACGGGAAGGAAGTGAGAAGAGGAACAAGAGAATGATGCAGCTGCATATGGATCAAAGTGAAGCACTGGTATACAAATTTACATCTTTGGCCAGTCTGTTTTTTTTTTTTGTCTTCCCCTTTTTTATGTATAAGTTCTGAATGCTTGTATTTCATATCTTCCATTTTCAGCTTCTACTGGAGTGATATTGAAGTGATGTCACAGCATGGCTTTTTGCTGTGGCACCTGGAATTTAATGTAAACGGTTGAACTTTCCATTTACTGTGGATTGAGCGAGTGGTGTTGAAAATGGATTTGGGTGAAGAGAAGAGAGCAACAATATTTGTACCACAGTTGCTATAGTTTAATTGATTGCAAGCCCAATACATTTGCAAGTAAAGAGAATTACTCTATAAGTTAAAAAAAAAGACACAAAGGCAAAATTCTTATTAAGCAAAGTTCTCTCCATATAAAGAAGGTGAGATACGTGGGAAGCTCTGCACTCAGCATCCTCTAATCATAAACTAGTTTCTTGTTTGATTTTTCAATATTTAGAAAAGCTAGATCAAAATGATCCCCTTCTGACTCTGTTTAGGAAAGCATATGATCTACAGAGAAGCCAGAGATGAGATCTGAGAGTTCCAGCAAAAGTTCTGTTAACTATCATGATGGGAGGTCTGATTAAAAGCAAAAAGGACCAACCCTGTTGGTAGCACGGGTAGCTGAGTTCCAAGACTAATATGGATATGTCCATGGTGTTTCCTTACGTTGAGCATGTGCAGTGCACTAGTGTCCTCAGTATAAGTAAGCTGTATTTAAGTCATGTTTGGCATTATAATGTGTGTGGTGTTTTACAGCAATTGGTAATCAGCACATGTACAGTATTTGAGGCATCTACAGAATTTAACGGTGAGCCACTAATGCGATGATATTTTTTATGATGGCTACTAGCTGACCTTAATTAGCTAAGTAGCCTTAAATAATTGCATCCATAAAAATAGTGAATGGTTGCTATTTTGTAGTTATTTTTATAATTTATGTGTTCACAAACTATTTTGAAATCAAATCTAATTTGGCCAGAATCTATCAGTCGTTCTTCTACACATATGCGTGCCAGGAAAAAATTGGTCACAAGTTTGCATTTAATAACAAATCAAAGGTAATAGGTTATTTCTTGAAAAAGCATTTTAGCCCAAACAATTACACTAGGACAATTAAGGAGGAGTAAAGAGGAAAGACAGCTATATTAGACACAAGAGATTGGGAAACGAAAATGAAGATTAACAATTAGATATCTTACTCAAAGGTAGTTCAGCCAAGTGTTGTATGAAATTTTTAGTAATATAACTCTCGTCAAAATCAGTGGACTTTTAAAGCTTCTATGAGGATAGTTGCCTATCACCAATAAAGCACTAGAATGGCTTTGGTGGATTAGGGCCTCTCTAGCCTGGGTCTTGTCTTATGGCCAACAGTGGGCATAAGCAGGCCTGTGGAAGCGCAAAAAGAGTGCAAGCATACATGTACCCTCACAGCCTCTGACTAGCTTCAGCTCAGAGGATTTCCTGAGTCTCAAGTGGTTTGCCTTTTTTGGTAACCCTGCTTGGGTTAAATGTAAACTTTTGGTGTCTCCCATCCTTTTGCCAGGGAGTTCCACTGCCTCCTCCCGCATGAAGAGCCACCTCCTGTCTTTTGAATCTGGCTGCTACTAGCTTCATTTGATGGGCTCTAGTGCTTGCACCGGTACAGACAACAAACAGCCAATCAGTGCTGTCAGTTCTGTGCAGCCATGATTTTACACATCTTTTCTTCAAAACTAGGAAGTTCTCCAATTCTTCTCTTTTCCAGGCTGCAGATTCCTAGCCTACTCAGTTGCTCCTCGTTGGACACAACCTTGTTGCCCTTCCCTCAACCTTTCTAAATTCAGCATATCCTTCTTGAGATGAGGAATCAAATTCTCCTTGAATTTAAATTAGATTTACATCACTTAAGTTCCTTTGAAAATCCCATCCCCAAATCCCAGGGTTGGTGCCCGATTGCACACTTAGAGCATTGTTCATGTTGCACCTAACCACATAGTAAAATATAACTGTATGATAGGAAGGCTTGAGAAGATGCCTTTCAGTGAGAGCTTGAACTGAGACTACTTAGCTTAGTTTAAAAAAGATGTTTAAGAGGAGCCTTGATTATAGCATGTAGATAACTGCCCAGTGAGAAAAGATTGGCTGCTAATTTCACAGGGGAAGCCTGCTAATGTCCAGCAGTTCAAAATAAAATCAGAAAGTTCAAAACTAGATCAGGCATTTCTGATAGTGACAGTGATTTCCTCCCTTGACCACCACAGGGAGGAAGGTCAGACTGGCTGTTGATCTCAACATGACTATACCCAAAGGAAATGTAATGGCCTGCTATTAAAAAGGGGATGGTCCCCTAAGTGCTCAGAGCTGGCCAGTGCTGGTGCCAAGACAGCACCAAGCAAGCTGGCCTGTCTCCACACCAGCAGAGGCCACATGGCGCCCCAGGTCCTTACAACAGAGCAGCTGTGGCAGGGCAGCACAGTGCTCGAGCCAAGTAGCCCTTCAGCTTGGTAGGGGAGATTAACCGGGCAGAGTGCCATGCTGTCACGTCCCGACTGCTTCTGGCTCTGAATCGAGCTCAGCTGGATCCATCCCTGGTTAATGCGCACAGCTTTGCCCTGTGTGGGTCACGGCATGGGTCCATGGGCCAGACTCAGGACTCTTCTCTGCCCACTGCCAGTGTTGCAACATCTGAAATGTAGGGGCTGAGCCACCAAGGGTGCAGAAGCTCTCTCCACAGAGAGACTGGTGCCTTCCCCAGTCACAGCAGTATCTCTGCTTGCTTTCTGCCATGCTAACCATGAGGAGCTATGGGCTACAAGGTTTGGTCAGCTCCCGCTCTTTTCTGGACCCGCATGCCTGCTTCTGCTGGGATTGGAAACTCAAGAGACATCCCTTAAGAAATCCCACTCCTTATACTGGAGATGGCTTTTGGTGGTGTCTTCTGCTTGTTAAACAAGTGGACAAAGCATTTGCTCGAGAACTAGAAGACCTGTGCTGTAAATACAAGAGTATTTACAACCACCTCAGCTTCCCTGTAATGGAGATGTGAATCTTTGTGTAACAGAAAGAAAAGGCCTTAGCTCCCAGACAAAAGGAATTAAATCCGCATCCTGCACATCCCAGGATAGTACTCGTATTACCAGCTAAAATTAAATTAGAAATCGCTGGAAAGGGAGAAAATTAGAAATCAGGAAAGGGGGACCAGCACTGAGCTTTGCCCTTCCACAGCCCTGCTCAGCCTTTCTGTGGGTCGCGAGCGCGTGACCACGTTTCTAGATGCAAGGAACTTTTGCTCTTCACGGTATGTCGAACGCAGCGCTGTGGCTCTGTGCTAAGCCTTACCTCAGTGACCTAAAGGGCTGGGGACTTAGGCAGGGGCTGGGGACTTGTTATCTCAGCTCCGAATCCCCACGGAGCTCAGTTAGGGTCTGGAGGCCAGCTGCTCAGAGGAGGCTGCTTTACAGCATTTTTGTGTGTCTAGAAGTCTAGGTATATGGGAAGTTCAAAAATATAGACATTTGCGTGATGGGGAGAGCTGGAATAAGGAGTTTCTGTCCTGTCCTTTTGGATTTTAGCCCTAGGGGATGTATGCCTGGTTTTTGCCCTGTGCGTTTAAACCCACAGGCTGACATAATTTACAGCCAAATCTGTGGGGAGATCAGGGATTTGTGACTGACTCCATGAAGACCAGATATAGCCCATGGTGCCATCCTTACATTTCTGCCACATCTTCCTCCCCATAGCTGTTTGTTCAGCTAAACCACACAGGTGCTAATACAAGTCTCCTGAGCGCTTGAGTCTCTTGAATAATTTCCTACGCTTGAGCTAGAAGAAGGTTACTACAGTTTAAGTAGTGCACTGCATTTAAACTGTTTTTAATCCCCTGTAAGAGTTTTCTTCTTACCACATGGTTATGTGCTTTTTATAATAGTCTTTTAAAAGATCAGTGTAAAAGCCCCTCAATAATGAAATTGCTTTATAATGAAAACTACAACAGGCCTTTCACTCTGCAGGATGTATCAGAAACAGAATGGGCTTTAGCAATAAATTATTCTGTATTTTACCAAGGCAACAAGTAACAAAAATGACCCAATTATGACTTGCAAAATTTTTTATAGCAAGCAGTTTAAATCAAACCAAGGGTAAGCTGTTAGCTCAAAATTTTGTTCTGAAATCTCAGGCCAACTTCAGAAAAAATGAATAAATGGTTACTATTAGCTGGATCTAATTTATAAAGGAGCTGGGAGGAGCCAATTTTGAAGAAAAGAGAATTATTTCATCTGAAGATTATTTAAGATCAATTGTGACAATCATAGAGCAGCATTCCATAGCTCTGAGGTATGAGGCTTGCTTCCTCATTAAAATACTCCGGATTTACTGGTCTTAATTATTTACTTAGACTCTTTGTAGTTCAAAAGTGTTTGAATACTTTTCCTGGAGAGCCAATCTCCAAATACCCATTACACTTAACAAGTTCTATCACAGTGATGTGTCTCTGTATTCTTTTTAAATATTTGCACCCATGAGCTTATTTATTAAGTGTACCATTTTGCCAGCACTATACAGAGTAAGTTTTGATTAAATCAATATTTTACCTAACTGTTAATTGCAATATCCAAAACAGGAAAGCACATCTAGTGTAATATTGTTTCAAAAATGTATGAGGTCTTTCTGCCGAAGTGATGTGAGAGCCAGTAACATTTAGACTCAGAAGATCAAGTCAGCTCAGGAAATGAAATACAGGCTTCCAGGTCACTTAGGTGGTATTGAAAATTGTGTCCTCAGATAATTCCACATGAGTAATTGCCTTGGCTGCAGGCAGAAGTATGTTTGTCTATGTTGCAGACTATTGGGGTTATATAGAAATGAGCCCAGGCTCATTTCTCATGAGCTGTAGTTTCAGTCCTGGAGCAGGTTATCAATAAGATGGCCTACGTAACTCTATGTTACATTTTTTCATCAGTGGCTGTACTTTAAAGTTAAAATGTAAATGCTTACTATCTACATTTTTATTTTATTTATACATACACGTATATAATAATAAATTATTATTATTATTATTATTATTATCATCATTATCATTATTATTATCATCCTTTTAGTTGTTCAGATTGGATTTCCTTGCCTTGGAAAACAGGATGGAGTTGCTGCATTTGAAGTTAATGTGATCATAATGAATTCAGAAGGCAACGTTATTCTCCAAACACCACAGAATGCCATCTTCTTCAAAACCTGTCAGCAAGGTAACGCTTAAGAGGACATTACTAAATACCATTAGACTACATCATGTAATTCATGTTTTGTTCAGGATAACGGCTAGACAAGATGGAAGTAGAGTGGTCACACAATCTGCAGCAAGGGTCACGCATTTCAGGCTCTTCTGGCTCTGTCTGTGGATTTGTTGCTCATTTACTGTTTGAGAAACCTTTTTCTTAATGTGAACCATGCCACACTTAAGAGAGTCTCTTGTAGGCATTTCTCCTCCTGTTCACAGCTCATCATGTCAAGGATATTGATAGAAATTTAACATATGGCAAATAAATACAAATAGCAAACTATCTGAGGTGTTTTGAGAAGAGTTAGCAAAAACAAGCTGAGGCTAACACTTTCAGAAATGGCACATAATTTTAAGAATGAACTTCTGGGATCTATGGTGGGGGCACTGACTTCAGTTAATGTTATCTTGTGCCACAGTTCAGCAGCTCCTGACATCTCAGCTTGCACATCCGAAATGAATCCAGAAAGCATAAATATGAACATTTTGCAGAAGCTGGCTTCACCTTCTCTGGAGCTCTGGACAGCAACCTGTTGTTGTTGCTGGATACAACATTGTTCACCAGCCGCAACAACATGTCATGTTGCCTGTTGCGGTTTACAAAGTTTATGAGACATAAACTTTGTGGAGTTTATGTCATAAACATATGAGTCAATGAGAGAATGTCCTTCTCCCTTACACGCATTAACACTTTATTATGCATGTTGCTTGTTTGATTTTAGTAAATTGTTTGGATAGTAAAGCATTATTCTGGAAAGGTGACGGAAAGTAGTCCTCAATATTTGCAGGCATCAGTCAATAAACGCACACAATGTCCTGACAGAAGAGCAACAGAAGGACGTCATAGAGTTATTGTAGTGTTTACTTGGAAAGCAGAGAACCTGTTCATTAACCAATCTATAAGCGCTATGTAAGAAGACCTTTTGGATTAAATTGATACACCACAAACAACTGTAATAATTATCATTTTGAATTGAGGCTGTGGAAATCGAAAAATAAGATCAGTATCTAGGATAAGGCAGTTATCCCATGTTGGGTGCAATTGTATCAGATTAACTCGTGGCAGGGCTGATGTACAAAGAGTGAGATTTTTATTCTTCTCCTATTAAATCTTTGTTCCCAGTCCCACACTTTCTTCTCTGCGCTCTTTTCTCTGAGCTAATTGGCCATAGTGCAGCTTCAAAGAGCAAGCGGCAGGAGTAGGAGCTGTTTATTCTCTGAAACCTCACTACACCTAAATAGCTAAGCTGTTTGTCTCCTTTGAAGCTTTGCTGCTGCCAATTAGCCTAGAGAAAGTGGAGGAGGGGAAGAAGAAATGGGGAGTGAAACAGGAAGGAAAATGGGTGCTTAACAGAAGTAAAATCAGGTCTTGTGTACGAAGTCGTGTGTCTGATGTAAATACAACACAAAACATTTCATGACTTTTTATTGTTACTTTGGTTCAAAGATACTAAACTTAATAAACTTTGGAAATAGTGTTGGGGTAATCTAATAGGGACAGCAGAGTTATGAGCCTGTATTGTGGAAAAATGTAGCATGAGCAGGGAGGGCTCCATACTCTTTTTTTTGGTAGCATTCATCCAAGCGCTGGTTTCTGTGCTCTTATTATTATCACTATTTTTGCTGACAAAAAATATTTAACAGTCCAACAGTATGGGATCATACGGCTACTCGGAGGATGGTTTTCTAGTCCGTAGAGGTAGGCAGGAGAGTTTTCTCATTTCCTATCTTTCAGCGCATACTAGGGTAACTTCCATTCCTACACTCGATTTCATGACACGGATACAGCAACATTTTGGGCCAGATATTAAGAAAGATGAGAATGTTCTAACCAGTTGGTATTAGTCTAGGAGTTAGTTTCCTTCCTTTGAAAGAAGTCCTTCATGGCGAGAAGCTCAGATTCCTCCTGCCGGGGCCCCAGGTCATTGTTTCCAGTTATTCTTGGCCAGCCAGAAGGGGCCTCCGCTAGAGGAAGTGGAGAAAAACGAGGGAGCAATTTTGTGGGAAAGAAGAGTCTTTGTTGTGGCTAAGAGGTGGCCACACAAAAAAATTGTGTTTTCCTATTTTTCTGTTTGAAATGGGATGTATTTAAGCATGCATTTTCTGTAATGAATAGCAGCTCCACATTTGAGTATAAAGAGAGAAACATTTCCAGAAAGAGTCCTAGAGTGTAGTGTTGGAACAAAATAAGACAAAAAGCCTTTACCATTATTATTACCACTGCTAATAGCTTTACTTTGAGAGTAATACTTTTTGCTTCATGTGTCCGTGGCTTTAGATAGAAGAGCATTTTAAAATTTTACCTTTTTCCCTTGTCCCTTTCCTGTTTGTTTGACAGTTCTACACAGCATCCAGCCACCTGACAATTACATCAGATTTTCTTCCCTTTTGTTTACTCTCGGGGTTACCCTTCGTATCCCGTTGGATAGCGAAATATTGCAGGAGCATAGCAGGAACAGAATACTGCTCCTGGTTTCAACAGTTGCCATGTTTTCCTGTGGCTCTAATCAGCTATTAGTCAAATTTTCAAAAAATAAAATTTGTCGATAAATCTAGCTAATAGGTACGTCACCTGGCTGAAGCACTGTAAGAGCAGAGAGTCATTCAGGATCTGTTGAAGTTTGGGATTATGTTTTCCTTTGTAGTTACAGTTTGGAGTTACAGTTTCAAATATCTCTGTGTGCTGCAGAAATGTCTCAGGCAACCCGATCCACCTCAATTTATAGACATCCTAATGCTCCTTGCCACTATAAACATGTGCACTTTAAAGGCTGTAATTGTTTGAATTTGAACTCAGTTATTATTCAAGTGGGAACTGGAGTGAATCAATGGCACAGCTTTACTGCCTAAGCATGGTAGGTGCCAGCACCTCTGGTAAAATTAGGTTACAAGCCAGTAGAGAAGAGTTAAGGATACTGTTGGGAGGTATTGCCAGTTACAGACGTTTACAGCACTGTTACACCAAAGAGGGAACAAAGAAAAAAAAATACGATGCCACCATTGCAGCCAACTGCCTTTTTATAGGTGACCTTCCAGTTTAGATTAAGATGGTTGTAACAAGATTGCTCTCTGAGGGTCTACCTCAGAGGTTTTTGAACTCTGTCATTCAACAGGGTTCAACACCCTTTAGCAACATGCGGTTGGTAAAGATGCCGCATAGACAGACCTTGTCTTCCTGGGAATGCATCAAGAGGAGATGATCATACCTCCTCTGTTAAAGCTACCTTGCACCCCTGGTGCTCAATCACCGGATGCAATGTGCACTACTTCTCATGGGAGCAGGCAGCCTCTCACACCTTCCTCCTTATCTGTGAGAGATCTGGGAAGGTATTTTTGAGTAATTGCTTTTCTACCCTGCAGTTGTGTTTTCATTGGCTTCCATAGGGTTCCAATTTGTTCTGCCTCTTGTTCGATGGACTCTGACGTTTTGAGGCTGATGATGATACCCAGATGTATTTCTTGTCCTTCTGCAGTCCAGTCAGTGTTGCCAAATGCTTTAACCACTGTTTGATAGATAGCTGAGATGTGAGTAAGAGTTGGATGATGATATAAGATCACTCTGCAGGAATGCTTTTATCTTTCTTTCTTCCTTCATCTGGCCTTGAAGCTGACTATTTCATTTGAATACAGATTTCATCACTTTGTAACCTCAAGAGTAATGGATGTAGTAATTAATGCAGTGCAAGCTGCAGTGCAGTTTACTTAAGGCTGCACAACAGGTCCTATTTATTAAGGGCACTGCAAGTCCTGTAGTGGGTACCGGTTCATTTCTGAGTAGGACTGAAAGTGCTGGATTACGCAAAGGGTCCACACTACTAATTCACCTACAGAATACCAGAGGAATAGAGCACATCCTCTGTCAACAAGCCCATCATGTTTATCTGAACACACAGTCAAAACTGTATTTGTAGATTAACAAAAAGGACACTAATTTCTCTTGAGGAGTTTTTAGCTGACCTTTCATTTCTGTCAGCGTTTGCCTGCCTGTCAGTGAATATTTTTACTGTTGTATCAAAGGAATATATTGATCCTACTGAAAGTTGAGTGGCAGCTGAAGTATGTAATAACCGTCTAAGACTGTCATTATCTCTTATGAAGCGGAGTGTCCAGGAGGATGCAGAAATGGAGGGTTTTGCAACGAAAGACATGTCTGTGAATGTCCAGATGGATTTTATGGGCCTCACTGTGAGAAAGGTAATTTAAAAAAAAACTTCTCAACAGTTTTCTTTACCATAATCTTAACAAAAGTGTAACTACTGCACTGTAACCTCTTCTAAAAATGGGAATGGCCTAGTCTGAAGGCTTCATATATTTTGAATCTACACAAGTAAGAGAATTACTGCTGTGATCCATGGTTTAATGGAAACCTCCATTGCTTACAAGAAAAATGTTTTCTGAGAGACTGTTTTTAACAAAAATTGACACAATAGTTAAGGGATACTCAATCACGGAGACTCAATCTGGCAAAAAGATTAAATAGAATTCTTCTGCTAATGAAGACTAGCTGGGAAACACAGCCCAGGACTTCTGTTGTTCTGCCTTTGTTTATTTGAAGATAAGATGTAATTTGGAGGCAGAATGACAAAGAAGATGGGAAGCATGAAGGAAAGAGTCTCCCTTTTCCTTCCATTAGTAACAGCCAAAACCAGCATTTCTGGGAGGGAGGGACCTGAAAGTTGTTGTGAATTGGTGAGGAAAATAGCTCTTCTTCATACTTCTTCCTTCCTCCTCCTCCCGTGGGAACCTTTCACTGGGGTGACCCAAAATGGCGCGAACCAGCCCCAAGGACATGCTACTCCACTGTCATCCTTTGGTTGGCTCCCAGAAACTCTGGCCACATGTGAAATATTAAATACAAAGGGTCAGGGACCATTCTGTGGCCTGGAGGCCAGCTGACGCAGCACAGTTTGTGTTTGTACGTTTAAACTTTTTTACTCTCCAAAGCAAAAGCCTCCCAACTCCTGGCGTGGAGGAGCCCCAGGTGCCGCTCGCCCCGGGCCGTGCCTGGGCGCTCTTTGGGAGCGCCCCTGCCAGCCGGGGACAAAGCCCTGCCAGGAACGGCACTGACAATTTCACGGGATGGATGAGTCCGTGTCCCTACTCGGCCCTGAGCCCAGGCTCTGTTTGGCTCTCTGGTATAGGCACAGCCTCGCTGCATATAGTAGTTGTGGCCAACCACGAAAGGAAGTGCTGTTCCCTACTGGGCCCCCGGGACAGATTTGTGGAGTGGCCACAACTGTGGAGAAGTCTGCAGGAGAGCACAAGGGCTCTAAAAAATTTGGGGAGGGGCATCCAGGACAATTACCCACTAAACCAGGCCGCAAGCGGCTCCCCAAGCCTAAATTAGGTAGCCGTGCTAGTGCTCAGGTATGCAGAGGGTGAAGGGAAGGCTTCGTTGTAAAGCCCACCTGGGAACCCCACTAAATTATTGACACCTCTGAGCACAGCCCCTAAAGAAACAGTCTTGACTGCAGAGCTGAGACACAAACGGGAGCACAGGAGTCCCATGATAGAGAGGACTGGGATAACAGCAACTTCAAATTTCCAGAGGGTGTTGATGAGTCTAAGTGGGCAGTTTGCTCCCCTCAGTTCAGTGTTACACTGTACAGGGGACAGTTTTTGCTTACAAATGGAATCAGGTTTAAACTTAAATCTATCTTCACTTTTTTAGTAATACTGTATACAAATCACCAGATATCAAGCAGAAATACAATTGATTTAACTCACTAACAAAGTTCCTTTGTGAAGCCGGCTTGTTACATTCAGCAGAAGGAAAAGGAGCGTAGGGGAACTATGTTGTGGCTTTATGTGATCACTCACTATGCAACCAGCGATGTGATTTCTTCCCTTGCTTCTCCGCAGCTCTGTGCACTCCTCGCTGCATGAACGGCGGGCTCTGCGTTACGCCCGGCTTATGCATCTGCCCACCTGGATTCTACGGCATCAACTGCGACAAAGGTAACTGCGGGATACAAACCTAGGGACCTGTGTCTGCCCTCTTTTCCTATGGTTGCGCTCCATATCCTGCATCTACTCTTTGTTCTCTCATGCTAATTTCCCTCTAGGAGTGGATTTTGGAAAGTTGAGCCAGTGATCAAGCAAGTAGCAAGTTTTAAAAGATGTAGTTTTGTGGTTCTTCTGTGGAGACTTTACCACAACTGGGAGCTGTAGTAAAAATCCAGGGACTTGCAACACGTCACAGGTATATGTGAAGGCGTCCACACATGCCTGCTCAGGGGAGGGTAGTTTACATAGTCGCTTTATTTGCTCCTTTAGAAGCTGTGGGTTCTACCACAGAATTCAGTGGTCTATGAAAAAAACGATCTGGGTTAGAACTCTGGTTTTTCCTGAAGTGTTAGTACATTAATTTGTTCAGTCTGGACACTTAGAAAATAAGTCGTTTATTCATTTTTTGTTGCTGCATTGTGGCTCAGGGATGAAAAGGAACAGTCAGCTCTTCAGAGCAGTCCAGACTCCCATGCAGAAAGAAACAAGAAGTTTGCTACAGAAGTATAGCTGACCAGCTCATGGCAGAGAGGGTTACAGAACATCATGTTGCATTTACTATTGCAGAACCATATATGAACAAATGAAAAGGTCCTAGTGGAGTTTAAGCCAAAATAATGCCTTACCTTTTAGGCCTTTGGATACGTATGTATTCCATACGTATGTATTCCATACGTATGTATGGAATGTTGTCATCAACATCCTTCTGCCTTGTATCTCATCCTTGATGAGAACTTTGCCACATCTGAAAAATGTTTTAAGAGTGCACTGTGATGAAATGTGCCCAGTATCTTGAAGGAGGTTGAACTGTAAGATCAATATGAACCCCAAATGTTTAGTGAAAAATCTTGTCTAATGCAATGGAAGTAATTTAGCAGATCAGAGACATAGCATTTGCGTCCATGTCACCATACAGCAAAAACTTACAGAGGTCTCTTTCTAGTTAAACCTAACATCTCCCAGGGCCCAAATTAAGAGCTGTACTTCTTCATTCAGTTAGTGAAGTATCTGCCTGTAACGGTGACTTCCAGTCCTAGATTATGTTCCTTTTACCATGCACTGGCAGTTTCAATAGCAATAATGACTTAATTCTTCGCAAGCTTTGCATGTGAGGATTGACAGAGCCATAACACAAAATCTCTCCTCAGGGTCTCATTGCTGTATTGTTTTTTTCTTTCTGCCCCTTTCTGTTGACTTGTGCGTGTGCCAGCATCAAGCACTGTCAGAAAAACTGCATTTCGGTCTTCCTTTGTAAACTGAATGAAAATATGTTAACGCAGCTTTTAAAACCCTACTCAATGTCTGTTTAGGATGAGCAGTGGAAAACATTAAGGGCAAATCAAAGTGAGTTCATATTAGTGATTTAGTTTATTCCTGTTTTATTTGTTTTAGCAAACTGTACAACAACCTGTTTCAATGGAGGAACATGTTTCTATCTGGGAAAATGCATTTGTCCTTCAGGATTTGAAGGAGACCAGTGTGAAATTAGTGAGTATCATTTCTATGTGCTCCCTTTTACTTACATCAGGCTATGCTATTTACAGTGCCTTAAAGATGAAGCACCACCTGCTTCTGCTAGGCCCGCAGTGAGGGTCTCAGATGGCAGATTGGGGTCCCTGAGAAAGCGAGGTGCCTTAGGCCTTGGAATGAGAGTCTTACTGAAAAGCTTTGACTTGTCACTTGACCATCTCATCCCCTGCCATGTTTTGGTTTTACTAGCAGCTGGTCTTGGAAACAACCCTTGAGTTGTAAGTATGCAATCACTACCCTGTGCAGCAGATGTGCTGTTGTGCCAAGCCCATGTGGAACAGATATTTTCAAAAGCTATGGCAATGCACACTTGTGTACAGAACATTAGATTTAAGCCCATAGCTCTGAAAGGCTACTAGAAACTGGGAGTGGAAGGGTTTGGGGTAAGGGGAGGACTGAACCGTAAACGCTGAGAGCTTTCACTTAACGTATTAAGTTGCATTCACAGGGCAACTTGAAAATCCATGTCACAAACATCAAAAGACTTGCTATTTTCAGAAGTTTAGCATCAAAGCTATTCAAAATATTTTAGCCCATGGTTGATCTAAGCGTTCTGCGTAAAGCTGGGGGTGGAGACAAGGCCAGGCTGGAACAGAACTGGGAGGTCAGCTGTCAAGCATTTGATCTCACTAAAAGAAGAGTTTTCTCACAGCTCTGTTAAATTGGATTAATTCTATAGTTCCCCACACTTGAATGGCGTATGAGCATTTTGGTTTTGAGAACATGCACCCGGGTCATTCTTTCCGGGCTTAAAGCTTCTAACAGATCACTGCACGTGGACCTTCCCCACCTTTCTGCTGTAAATAATCTCACTGACTTTCTGAAGAGCAAGGAGAGCAAAATTTGGCCTTGTATGCGTAAGAGTTGATTTCTTAGTAGGCATCAGCAGAGACAGACTCGTCTCATAGTTATGAATTTTATATCAACAAATACTAATTCACACATTTCACACGTGCAAATTTACTCTAATATGCTGCCAGCTGAGAGGGGACAGTAAACAAAAGTTATTACTGTGCAAAGAAAGAAGAGCACAAACACCATACGACCTACATTTTGCACAGTATTTTTGTGTAGATAAGAGCAGACTTAAGTGAATGCTTCACCGTATCCCTATGCATTACAAGACATCTTGCAATTCTGTTTCACCTCATCAAAATTTGAGCCAAGCAAGCAGCAAAGCTTTATTGTTATTAAATTAATAACGATGGTCCTTTGATATAAAGTCAGATCAGATGTAAGCAATTTCAGCAGTATGGATTTCGACTGCGTTTACCTTTGTTTACATCAGGTTCAAATTTAACACTTTGTCAGGACCTCATTTCTTTCTTTATTTCTCAGAAAATCTACTTTGTGGTACTTCTCAAAGGACGAATAAGATTTTATTCAAAGTCCAGGGAGCACATGCTTTGTGTCCATGGCATTTTTTGTGGAGTATCCTTAGAACTAATATAAGATGTATAATTAAGAGTATTCCATGTAATTGGTCTGTCCGAAGGGCCCTTAAGTTCATTGTTGTTCACTGCTGCTTAGGCCAGGTGCAACTGACTTTGGCTTCTTGCAAAGGATTACCTGTACAAGAAAATTAAATTAATTAAAATGCAGGCAATAAGCTAGTTTCTGTTAAAAAACAAAAAAGAGAGAGAGAAAATTCAGGATCAGAGTTTGCTAAGAGCTAAACCGGGAATCTGTTGATAAGGAGGCTATGCACTTGCCTAGGCTTTTGTATAGCTCCGATGACAATTGTTAGAGCATGATTGATGGCTGCTACCACCTCTGGGCACTGCACCAGTACCAGCACAACAGTGGAGGACTGAAAAAAATGCTGGGCGAGGCTTATGAACATCAGAGGAGAAACAAAATTCATTCTGCTTTCTTAGATCCAGGGCCAGCTATATTCAGGCTTGGGGGTCTTGAAATAACAAAAGGAGAAAACTTTTGCAATAGGCAGAAAGCCATCTTCAGAAAACTGCAAAGATTTTTTAAATGTTGTTTAAAGTTTTTGAGAGCTTTTCTAATAGTTGAATCACGCCTGGGAAATTTACTCAGCTCCGTTTACAATACTAACAAGCATTCACAGTCTTCCAGTTTTTTTCTAACTATAGTTAGGCGTTGTCTCTAATTAGTGTTTCAGTTTGAGTCTAGAGAGTTTTATTTTGTTTTTGAGTCCTCTCCTATTTGTTACTAACTGTTTTGTTGCTTTTTCCATTTCTCAGTTAATAGCATAGAGAGTTATTAGCCTTTCCTGCATTCTGTGAAAATATTTGAGTCCAAAATTAGTTGAACCATGTCGAGGCAAATGCTTGCTTAATGCAACACTGGAAGTCTGTATCACACCCTTGACCCATATTCTCCAGCCTTACTTCAAGAACTAGGAAAATTCCTGGATTTTCTTAGCATTGTTCCTTTCAGTCATTAATTACTGCAGATGCAAATGGGAGCAAATTAGAGTACCTAGCGGTTCCCTGCCCAGAGGCTTCTGCAGGGAGACTGAGCTTTTGCAGAAACTCTCCTTAGCACGGTTTGTTCTGTAGGCTGGTTATGAAGTTTGTTTCTGGGCTATTAAAGTAAGCCTATACATATAGGAACAAATGCTCCTTTTATATTGACAAGGTGCACATGCATCACAGAAGTTTGACAGGATGGAGAGCTGAGCAAGAAGTACGTGGGGTGTTTAGTTCCCAAGGGGGCACTCTGTTACTGAGATGAGCACGTTTGCTGAGGTTTCCAGCACAGTGAAACAGCAGTGGAAAAGACGAGTGTTGATGTTTAAATTACCGTGTGCAGGTCTCAGAGTTAACAGCCTTAAAAAAAAAGAAAGAAGAGAAAAGAAAAGGAAAGGAAGCCATTTGCTGCTCCAGCTTCCAATTCTTGTTTGTTTACAGACTCAGGCCAATATTAGTGCTAAGCCTAGGCCAGACATAATTTTTTTTCTGAAGACCCCCAAAAATGTTGTCGGATTAGAAAAGAAGAGAAATCTGGACAATAACAAGAGAGCTGCATTGCTACATACGGCCACAAAAGAGGCAAGAGGCTCAGAGTGTGGCTCCTGATGGCCTGATACTGCCCAGGGACTTGGAAATGAGTCGGCTTTAGCCTTTGCTAAGGAGCGTCCTTGCTCTGGGGTGCTGCGCTGGTCCTTTCCAGAGGCAAGTGAACGTGTAATTAGTTAAATAATGCAAACAAATTCTAACAAGGGAGTCAGTGACTGACAGACTGGGGAGGAGAGACCTCGCTTTAGGTTTGAGGTAGGCCCTCGAAGGCCCCTTGCTCTGAATCAGGCCCAGCAGGAGCGTAAACATGGGTCTCCTCCGTGACCGGTGAGCCAGGGCCAGGCTTCCTACAGCAGCGCGGTCAGAGCCAGGGTCTTCCTTCCGCAAAGCGTGCCTGTGAGGGAAAGTAGTTTCTAGACCAAAAAGAAAAGCCTCGAAAAATGTCTGCCAGGTCTAATTACAGTTACCAAAGCTGCTCTGTGCTTTACAGGCAGGAAAGAAGGGCGCATTCTGTAGTGCGCCTTTAGTTTCTGAGCTGTGGTGTGGAGCAGTCCTCACTGCACCATCCACAGCACCATGGCACGCCAAAGCCTTTTATTACAAGCTGGCAGGCCCAACCAGTCTGTTTATTTTCTGCAAATAGCTGCCATACTTGTCAGTTCTGAGCTTCCCGTTGCTTAAAATATCTCTCAGATGCCACCAGACTTTCTTCTGCTTGTGCCCTATGGGCACGGATCCCATGTTTTGCACACGGTAGGAAGAAAGTCTGTAGGTTACCTCCTCCCTTGAGAAGGGTGAGGAGCAGGAGGCAATACTGACCGGTGGTGCAGGGGATCCTTCCAAGTCCTAGTGGCACAAATCCGGGCAAAAACTGTGGGCACCTGGGCACCAGGCTTTGGCCATGCTCCCTGCAGGCCTCCTTCCGTGCAGGATGCACGTCCATCTTGGAAGCACAGCCTTGCCGACGGGTCCTCCTGCCGGCTCCGCAATACCCCTCTTTCCCCACCATCAGATGAGTGTTTCAGGTACAAGATAGGCTTTTCAGACAGATGTCTCCAGTACTTGCAGTGAATTAAGGCCATTGTTTTTCATGCTTCCTATTTCTAGGTAAATGCTATCAGCCCTGTCGAAATGGAGGTAAATGTACTGGTAAGAATAAGTGCAAGTGCTCCAAAGGTTACCAAGGAGACCTTTGTTCCAAGCGTAAGTACTAAAGCCACTCAGACAGCCCTGGTTGTACGAGCACCAACCTCATATACAGTATCTTTTTACATAATGTCAGCACTAACTGCTTGTTGTCAAGGTATTGCAGGTTAACTGGCTTCCTGGGCATACCGCAGACACGAGCCTTAAAAGAGCTATGAAGCATGGAAACGTTTTCTTTCAAAAGCCTCCCCACAACTTTTTCTGTACTATGAGTTTCTTTAAAACAGTGATGCGTCTGTATAACAATAGCAAATATTGCTAGACGTATACTGAATAAAACGGCAATACGTTGCAGCATTAAAATCCTACAGGAGCATTTCGCCTGCCTTTCCTGAGCGTAACGTGGGCTGGATTCTCCTCTTGTCTGCTCTGGTGGGCGCTGAGCGCTGCTGTTTGGTCTGCTTCTCTCAGAGACGCTGAGCCAGACGTTTTAGTTCAATGGTGGGGTGAACTGCTTCAGGAGCCTGCCCACGTTCAGTTTGAAATCACAGATTTACTGTGAAAGCCCCAGGCAGTGCCAAGACTAACATATTTGAAGGAACAGCAGGGAAAGAAAATATGTAACTTAATCTCTGAATGAAACGTCAAGAAGTCAGATGTATGCTCTCACTTTATTACAGCTGTCTGTGAACCCGGCTGTGGATTATATGGCACTTGTGTTGAACCTAACCAATGCCAGTGCAAAGAAGGCTGGCATGGAAGACACTGCAATAAAAGTAAGTAAGTGAGGAATAAACCCGGAGAGTCCACATTGGAGACTCGTATAGAGCGGGTGCCTTACAGCGATGACTGCCTCAAAACCTTTCCACAACCGTTACTAACAAAGCACTCCCCCTTTTTTCTAATCTAAAAACAAAACAATAAAACTAAGGTTTTAATATTCCATAATTTTAACTACTTAAAAGGAAAACAAAATCTTTTAAAACTGCTTTACCAAAATCAGCCTTCCTTTTTATAATAGAAGTTCTAGATTCTCATATCAACAAGATTTCTAGAAGACCTCCATATCCTCCACCCATGGTGTTGAACTGGTTTAAAGCCCTTCAATAATGCCCACTAATGTTAGCTGGCTTTAAAATGTTGGATAGGCATTTTTATAAATAAAACTCTTTCAGTTTTCAAAGCTGATTAAAATTAGGAAAAAAAATCAAGCGTTATTTAGAAACTTTGGGAAAAATTTGAAAGCTTATACAAAATATGTGCTTAGCAACTTCAAGTCTTCTCCTCCTCTTTCCCGCGCACACTGCACAGAGTACAAAATATGTTGTCCCAAGGCAAAGCTAAATTCACTAAAATGAATTTGTGTTTTGCTTGTGGATCCTTATGACATGTAGCGAAAGCGAAGCAGCTGATCATTTCAGGGATTTAAAGCAGCACTATGAAATGAGTTGAAATACAATTGGATGTATCCAGGTAGCAGGTAGCGAATTCACATGAAATTTTGTATTTCATGTGAGATGATAGTGCTATAACAGCAAATCATCAAGGGACATTCTGTACAGTCTCAGTTTTGTATTTCATGTGAGATGATAGCGCTGTGAGCTAATTACTCACATTGACTCTGTTAAGTGGCAGAGATAAAAAAAGTTGCAAAATGCTGTAGCTATAAAATGCACCAATTAGCCATAAGAAATGTGAATCTTACATGGCTGCATCAAATGAATGATCATTTTTATGAAATATTGTTGATGCTTGTGATTTACATCACATTAAAATGGATCAGAATAAATACAATTGTTTTGTAAAAAATGTATAGGATCTAACTATAACAGATTATGCAGTGAAAATTTGGTTTGGGGAATCTACTTCTGTGCTGTTAGCTAGTAGAGCGGTATAATTACATATTTCATTCCCTGAAGGAGAAATAATGTTGACATAAGTAATGGTTAGAGAAAAGGTACATGGAAATCAATACGAACTTCAATTCCATATTCCCATAATACACTTATTATCTTCTTGTAGTGCTTTTGTTATAAGCAGCTTAGATAGCAAGAGAAAGAGTATGTGCTATGAGTGAACATCCCCAAAGAAATAATTAGCTCTACAGTGAAAACAAAATGCAGAGTGTGACTGCCATATAATGAAAATTCAGTAGTCAAATGTTACTGTCAGCTCCAAGATTTTGAAACCTTCATTACTTAGATTTAAAGTTTAGGTACAGTCTTGCTGTGTTTAGCACTGCAAAACACTTTGTGTTCAGCAAAGAGACTGAGAATGGGCCATTTGGGTAAAATCCACCCCTGTTTGAAGTGCCTGTGTAGGGCTTAAATTGCACATACAGCTCCGTGTGTGGCACTGCAATTCACTGCTTTCAAATAAAACCCAATATCGCTTGATCTTTAGAGAAGATTTATAGTCGATTTCAGAGACTTGCTTCATACTCATTGCACTGCGAGTTCAGCAGTCATACAGCGTTAGAGTTTGCCGCTAGAAACATCAAAGTTTAGAAGAACCTAAAACGTGCATGTTTGTGTGAAATGAATGGCTCCTCAGTAAAACTGCGCTCTAAAAAGAAGTGGTTAAAAAGACTGAATTTAGGACTTTGATTTCACAAGTCATTTCCGTGAGCTTGAAATGATGAGCTGGGTAAATGAAACTGTAAACAATCACAGCATAATACTTGGCATTCCATTTTTATTGTTCGTTTTTATTTTCAGCAGCAAAGCAGCTCTGCTAAGCCTGTTTGAGACGCCTTTTTTTTTGCAGGTGTTTATTGTTGCCGCTGTTCTTTTTCTTTCTCTAAAA